CCTCAATCTATTTCCCTAACTCTAGATAGATGATAGTGTAGAATATAAAACAATAAAACATTTTCATCCACTTAAAGAAAAAAAAAGAAATAAAAATGAACATAGAACAGGAGGGACAAGAGAAAACATATTAAGATGGTATGTTGAAACCAAAGTAGCTCACAAATTACATTAAATATAAACGCACTAAGTCCACAGAGGTGAAGAACAATTCTAATCACATCCCATCGAGGCTGCAGTCTATTGACTGGACGTCTCCCTGCTGGTGTGGACCTTGGTCAGCTGCCCTCCAGTGGTGTTCGTACAGTTACTGCTTTTTCTCTTTCCTTTCTTGCTCTTTGGAAGAATGTCACTGTGCAGCCCACACCTAGGGAGTGGATAGTTATGGTCCCCTTCCCTAAGTGTGGGGTACCTACACAGATTTATGTAAAATTTTTCTGCATGGAGATTTGTTTATTCTCCCCCATTTGCTTGTTTTTCAACAATTTACTTATATCAGTATGCATTTGTGGGTATTTATTTTTATACTTTGGGTCATAATCCAATAATGCATCACTTATTTTCTTGCTCAAATTGTTCCAGCCTTGGCTCTTGGGAGCTGTTTCAGCTGGCTCCTTGGACACTCCCTCATGGCCATGAGTTCTTTAAAAATAGTGAATAGTCTTAATGGTTTTTAGTATCTTTTTTTTTTTTTTTTTTTGGCTGCACTGGGTCTTTGTTGCTGTGTGTGGGCTTTCTCTAGTTGCACCGAGCGGGGACTATTTGCTGCAGTGTGTGGGCTTCTCACTGCAGTGGCTTCTCTTGTTGTGGAGCATGGGCTCTAGGCACGCGGGCTCTCGAGTGCAGGCTCAGTAGTTGTGGTGCACGGGCTTAGCTGCTCCGCTGCAGGTGGGATCTTTCTGGACCAGGGCTCAAACCCATGTCCCCTGCACTGGCAGGCGGATTCTTAACCACTGCACCACCAGGGAAGCCCAGTATCATTTTAAACTTATAGAAAGTTAAGTAAATAGTACAGAAAGACTCATACACCCATCCACCCCAGGCACAGCTCCCCCTATTATTAACATTTTGCATGAGTGTGGTATATCTGCTACAATTAATGAACCAATATGGACATGTTGTTATTAACTAAAGTCTGTAGTTTATGTTAGTCCAGTGCTTCTGCGCGGTGGATTATTGTGGTAAGACAGAGAATTCTGTGGTCAGGTGCCCCCGTCTCAACTTTTCTGTAAAACTGTGAGGCAGTCATGTGGGATACCACAGCAGAGAGTTTCTACACCTGGCTATTCGCATTCCCTTCTTCCCCATGTGATCTGCTGCTCTGTCTCACTTCTCCTTAATATGGGCTACGTTTAAAATTCTTTCATATTCTATCTCTTATGTCACATTTGATATCATAGGGAAAAACCCATTCAGGTTGTCTCAATCGGAAGCTTTGTGATTAAGGGCCTTCAGTACCCAACTCAGTGATTATAAAGACCGGCAATGATTGATTGACTAAAACTAGTGAACAGTCTTTCAAATTACAATGAATTTTTAAATTGATATTCTTTTTTGAGACCATAATAATTTACTGTTCTGACATCAGATCAACAGAAAGAAACTCCAATTAGACTTTGAAAACTCATATATTTCAGGAACATGTCATTTAACCCTAGTAAGTGGATGGATAAATTACTTTAGAAGTCAAGAAGTCTTTTGAGCCACTGTCCTTTCTGGTATCTTGTTTTGTGAGTATGCAGTGTTTCTTCTCGTACTTTTAAAAACTTGTAATCAGTTTTCAACGGCTGACGTCTGACACAGCTTTACTGTAATTACCACCAGGACTGAGTATACCTTTGCCCTTCTCCCCAGCTTAGGAAGCAGGAGCCCCTGCTCCCCTCTTTTCTAGCATTGCTTTTGGCAGAGTTCTTTTACCGTACTTCTCAGGTCTATATTTACAGTTTTTGAAGTGTATCACGTTTTTTAGTATGGTGTTCAACCGGCACGTTGCTTCTTTGATTTTAAAAGTATTTTAAATTAATTTTTAAAAACACTATTTTAAAAGAATACAAATGACTTTTCATAACGGGGATGAAATATCCTTGTGTGGGTACAAAATTCTGTGAGTAGTGTTTCCATCCTGCCCTCATCTCTCCCCTTTGACCGTGGATTTACCAACTTTACCTTCCCAGTTTACTTATGATCTGGTTGAATGTTCTTATGCTGTTGTCTAGGGGTGGCTGGGAATAGGTGGATTCTCTTGGTAGAAGACTGAACAGAGTTTTAGAGATTCTTCAAGCCTAAGCAGAGCCGTTGTGAGGAGTAAAGAAAGAGAAGGTGCACAGTGGGGCAGGTTGTCCGCGTAGCTGGTGGGTCGCGTCTGCAGTGCTCGGCACGTGGTGCTGGCGTCTGATCTTTGGAAGATAGAACCTGCCTCCGGGACTAGGGACTGGACGCCCTTTTCGAGTCAGGTTAAAGGTGACAGCCGGGCTGCCTCCTGCGTGGGTCCCTCCGTGCCCTGTGCCTGCCCCTCACCACCCCAGGCACATGAGGTGGGCTGAGGATTCCTCTCCTGCCGGGGCTGAGAAACCTGGGTTAAAGCCCTCGCCGGCCCTGGCTGGCCCTGGTACGGTGTTCGATTCCACGGCAGGATATATACCCTGTGCCCCCAAAGTCTGTGAAGCTTCTGGGACCCAGACCGCCTTTGCCCATTCATCACTCCCAGGCCCTC